GGAAAAAAAAAAAAAAAAAAAAAAAAAAAAAAAAAAAAAAAAAAAAATCAGTAGCTTTGATAATGAATGTGGATTACTAATTGTAAAGATAAACTTTTACTTGTCTGGTAAGCATTCTGAAATATCTTTGAAAATAGAAGCAATGTATGCAGGAGACAAAATTAATGAAGTTGCGTCCTCTCCTTTTATATAAATTGCAATGATTATAATATATTTAGAGATTCTCCAAAGAACTCTAAAAGGTTAGTGAGCATTGGCTTGATTTCTTTAGGAATAAGGGGAGCAAAATTCTCTGTGTAAGTTAGGTGCTTGCTCACATTAAGCAAATTAACTCTCATTGGAAATAGAGGAACTATTGAAATCCTGGGAAAGACCAACTTAACCTGATTAAAAGTAAAGACTCTTTTGCCTTTCCTCAGTGAAAGTATTAAAAACTATTTTAAAATGTTGATAATCATTAGCAGCCATCTCTAGAAAGTCTGTGGTAAAAGATCATAGGCCTCAGTTGCCTCATCTTTCCTATTTCAGAGAAAATTCTAAGCTCCTGTGAGTTAGGAAAGTACACTGTGAGAGTCCCGTAGATGGCAGTGTTTGCTTTACTCTGAAAATGTTTTCACAGGTCATCATCAAGAATATGGGCTGGAATCTTGTTGGTCCTGTTGTTCGATGGCTTTTATCAAATAAAGAAGATGATAAAAGAAAAGATTATTTTTTGATGCTTGATTTATTGGTAAAGGTAAGTTAACAAAACTAGGTTCTCTTTGTCATAAAATGCAGCAGTATTTTATAATTCCTTTTAATGTTTAATGCTTATTGCTTGGTAGGAAAGTTTTTAGTTCATGAAAATACATACATACAGAAATCATTGGAGAAAAGGCCCAGTATTGTTGATTGGATGGGCAATGAATCCCATTTCAGCATTTCTCAAATTTTCTGGTGTATATAAGAATTATCTAACCTCATGTCAGACCCACTGATTCAGAATCTCCAGGGAGATTCTGGGAAGCTCTGTTTAAACAAGTAGCCTTATTGTATAGATGTGGAATTTAAAGTTTAGAGAGGTAGTTCAAGGCTACACCGATCTTTTGGCTACTTTGGAACTAGAATCAAATCTCAGTGTTCTTTCCTCTATGGTATGTTTCCTAAAAATATAAAAAAACCTGGAATGCAAGTGATCACAACAGAAGTAGGAATAGGAAGTAGGATAAAGATCAGTTGTGACTGACAACCTTAGAATGAGGTTAGGAGTTAAAAGTTAATATGTGATGACTAAGAAAGATAAATTCTGAGAAAAAGGACATTATAAGAAACTATTTGGAGATGAGTAGAAATACAAGTATACGCAAGTATATGTAAGTATATACAAATACAAGTATACACAAATTTCTTGGAAAGAAAGAACTCCATCTAGATATGAGTTGTTTTTTATGATGGCTTTTAAAAAACCCAGGCAAGTGAGGTAATAAGACAGGGCCAATCAGAAAGGAGTGCAAAGTTTTATCTGTTCAGGAAGGGACGGCGGACTAATCTAAATACCCTAGCAGCGTGAGATAGAAAGCTCCCACCTGCTGGAAGCCCTGGAAATCTATTAAGATGGCCTTCAGAGTAGACAGATGAAGCTCAAAAGAACCTGAGCTCTGGCGATCAGGTTCTTCCTTTCCCTTATTCTCTAATTTTTCCTTTAGCCAGGAACTTAAGTCTCTAAAATGTAGTTGTCCATTAAAAGACCCTTTGACTTCTTGCTTCTTTTTAGTTTTATAGTGATTTGACCATCACAGATTCTATGTTTTGTTAGTGCATAATTTTTCTAAACAGTTGATGAGGTGTTTTACTGTTAAGCAAGAATAATTATATTTTCTCAGTATATGCCATTTTAAAAATAGTAATCATGTGGCTTTAAATACAACTTGTATTAAACAGGTTCAATTGTGAATATTTTTATAGTTATGTAATCCAAAGGAATTATTGCTGGGTTTGCTTGAACTGATTGAAGAGCCCTCTGGAAAACAGATATCCCAAATTATTCTTCTTTTACTTCAGCCATTGCGAACAGGTAATGAACATTTTGATATCAAGGTATTTCTTATTTTATCTGTAAGTGCCTTGATGTTTATCCCAAAATGTCAACACTACACCAAAGTAAAGTTTATGACTAATGATCAAGTAGTCTGCTTAAACTAGTAATAGCAATGCCAATTTGAATCCCACTGCTCATAGAAAGATGACAGTACATGGCATAGAGTGGGTATCTGGTAAATATTTTGCCGAGTGTCATACTATTTTTCGTGTGCTATCTTGTAACCTATAGCTTTTTGCCTAATCTTCCTACCTGCAGCTTAAATCTTGAATTTTCTGCCTGAACATATTTAAAGGATTACCTCTGTGGTGTCTGAGTACTCAGTTTAATAACATTGTGGTATTCCTGTATCTTGATTAACAAGAGTATGAGGCAGGGCATTGCTCAGCCTCTGCATTTGGGAGAATAGCAAAGGTACTGCTGAAGAATGAAACTAGGAATATAGGAATGATAAGACACCCTGCTTAGTGCAGTAACAGTATCAGTGAATAATGGCAACCAAGACAAATGGTATTTATCCATGGGAAGAGGATATTTTTCATCTTAGGAAATGCATGTATCTGAGAGTCTTATAGAAAGAGTCAGAAGTTAGAGTAAATTTGTTTTAAATATGAATGTTTACCAGCTTTGTGCCACTTGAAATATTCAAAGTGTACTAGAAAAAAATCTGATAATACTACCTCTCATTTGTACAGTGCTTTATAGTTTACAAGACATTCTTGTATTTTGTGCTTATAACAACTAAAAAATATGGAAAGAATGTTTCTGTCTTAAGTATGTAGCCTGTTATAAACATATCTAAACAAGATTTCATGACGTCTACTGAAAAATGCCACAATTTCAAGATGCTATGTTATTTTTTTGCCTCACTAAGAAGGAAAAAACATTGCCAATTAAGTTATGCTATGTCATCCTGATTTCAGAGTTGTTAAAATGTGTGTGTGTGTGTCAGGGGAGGGAGGTGTCTTATAATTCTACATTTATTTAATTTGTTAGCCCCTGTTTAACATGCTTGATGAGGCTACCTTAAATAACAACTTGGTCTCTGTTTTGTTTTAGTGATTCAGAAACTTCATAACAAGGCATATTCAGTTGGATTAGCATTGTCTACCCTTTGGAGTAGGGTATCTCTTCTTCCAGTTCCATACTCAAAAGAACAAATAGAAACAGATGACTATGGCCTTTGTCAATGTTGCAAGGCCTTAATAGAGTTTACGAAGCCTTTTGTGGAAGAAGTCATTGATAACAAAGAAACCTCACTGGAAAATGAAAATGAAAAGCTAAAGGATGAATTACTGAAATTGTAAGTATATATATATATTTGTTTTGCATCTGAAATAATAGTAAGTACACCTAATTTAATATGCTATAATCTAAAATTTTATACTGTTGTATTTCAAGTATTGCATATTGGCATGCAGATTGTACGTTTATTAACTAAGCAATATGTATTTTCGTAGAACACAGGTACACAAGAAGATGGAAAATAAAATAGCAATAATTTACTATCCCAAAGTAAATACTATTTTAATACCATCCAGACTTTTTTCTGCTTATGTGCTCATAAATAAAAAAAAGTATACATGTGTATACATTTTCAAAGATTATGTATTATATATACTCTTTTGTAATCTACTTTTTTTCTCTTAACCAGTGTATTATGAATATTTTTCCATTGGCTTAATAGTATTCCATGGTATGGACTAAGCATAATGTATGTAACCTGTGCCAGGTAGTTCCACATTTAGATTGTTTCCAATCTTTCATTTTTATATAACAACTCCAACTTTCTTTGTTTTTCTGTTAAGTCTGTGATAAATATCCTTGTAACTTAATGTTTGCATACTTCTTTAAATATTTACTGAAAATTTCTAGAAGTGGAATTTCTGTGCCCCCCCCCAAAAAAAATCTCATTTTTAAGGGTCATGATAAATATTGTCAGAGTATTTCTAGAAATAGGTAAGTTTTCACTTTAAAAGCAATTTGGATTTATGCATCAAGAGTTTTTTTAAATGCGTTGTTATTTTGTATTAGGGAAATAATCTGAAATATAAAAGAAGTTGTACTTGAGGTTGATCGTCATGAATTTCAAAAGAGAGCAGTCAGCGTGTCTGTGTGGTTTTCTTCAGCCATGTTCAGCTGCACCAATGCAGGGATAGTATAGGAGGAAAGTTAGATTTAATTAGGTTGGGGTTTGGAGAACTGGGTGAGTTGTATAAAGCAAGAGAGGGTAAGGAACTGAGGATGTACGCAAGAGAGTGACTTTAATGATGGGCAGTGGAATTTAAGCTGGGTAAGAAGGGAAGTTAGGACATACTCAGTGTGAGAGAAAGTGAAAAGATGATGGGATCACTAGGTTGTAGATCTTGGGGTGGTTGACAAATTGTTGGAGTTATGTTTCCAAGAGGAGAGAGCTGGAAAAATAGAAGGTTAGAAAACAGGATCCTTGAAATAAGTATTATGGAGAGGTTACAGTTATTAATAATGTCTGGGGTATGACCGTGGGAGTATATATTCTAAAGGAGAGGGTAGAGGCAAAGATCTTTAGATCCTGGATTAGAGAAAATGAAGCATGTGATATTTCAGTGTATTAGATGATCTTTGATTGTACATTTAAATCACACACAGTTATGATAAGAGTAATGTTGGAAAGCCAATTAATGGAGTGACTTTGAGGTTTAATGACTGCGACAAGGAGGGGTAGGGGTGGTAAAGTCATGAGACATGAGTTTCAGAGCTGAGGGATTTTAAAGAGGAGGAGAGGGAATGGTCTAGAAGCAGCAAGGAGAACAAGTATACTTCCAGGCTCAGTGGTACAATGTGTATGCATGAAAAAAATAGTGACCCTTTGAGAGGGTTACAGAGAAAACTGTTGTTTTCATAGGAGAACCAGATTTCATTTAGAGCAAGAGGTAAGAGACCATATAGAGAAGAATGGATTTTGCTGATGACTGTGAGTTCCAGAGGCAGTGATTGAAGGGTTTCTGAAATTTGCGGAGCAGGAGAAGGGGTGAGAAAAGACAATGCCAGAACTTTATGGGAACTAAATTCTGAGGATGAGAGGTGACTTGGTGACTGATATAAATAGGGATACATAGTATAATAAGGTTAATGCTGATGGTCAAGATAGTAGTGAAGAGAGTAGTGAGTGATGAAGAGGAAGGGGAGGTGAAGGATTTTCCCAGGAGCACACAAAAGTCTGGGGCCTGCTCGTTGTTGCCAATGTTAGAGTACAGTATCATCTTCTAGATGCAGTATAAACACCACCGTATATGGTAAGTGTACTCTATTTTGAGATGATGGCTATGAAAGCTGGACACTATTAAAGGGTGTTAAACCTGGGAGCGAGTAATCAAGTTGTGTTTTGAATTCATCATTTTGATGGAAGGTGAATTCAGGTAGATAAGATTGGTTAGTCATCTGTTGGGAGTTAAGTGAGCAATGACGGGAACAGGAGAGGGCAGATTTGAGAACTTTATAGTAATTAATTGGCAAAACTTGGTCATTGATTGGATTTAGAGTAGTAAAAGGTATGGGTCATGGATAAGGTTTTTTTGCTCGAGTAACTGGGCAGATGAAGTTGCCAATAATTGAGATTGAGTATACAGAAAAAGGAGCACAGGGTCTTGTTAAAAAATGGGTTAAAAAAATGTGTTATGGAAATTTAAAAACATTCAGATAAGTAGAAAGAACAATATAACACACCCCCATGTACTCATCACCCAGCTTCAACAATTATCGGCATTTTGCCAATATTGTTTCATCTGTCCTCCCTGGTTTCTTGCTGTAGTATTTTATAGCAAGTCCTAGATGTAGTTCACCCATAAATATTTCAGTATGCTTCTCTAATGATAAGGACTTTTTAAAAAACATAACCACAATGCCATTATAACACCCAACAAGATTAATAATAATTTCTTGATATATAATACCCAGAGAGAACAAGTATTTAAGGAGGAATTTTTTATTAAGAGTAGGTGAGATCACCTAAAGAGGTAGATCAGAGTGAGAAGAGAAAAGGGCTCAAGGCTGAATCCTAAAGAGTACCAGCACTTAAGATGAGCTCACCAAAGACACTAAGAAAGAAAAGTCAGAGAGGTGGTAGAAATATCACAAAAACTGTGCAGTAGAGTTTCAGGAAGAAAGAAGTGATCAATTCTGTTAAATGCAGCAGAGAGAGCCTATAAGGTAAGAGTTCATTGGTTTTAGGAAGAAAGATGGCATTGATAATCTTAGCAAGAATAGTTTGAGTGCATTGTTGGAGACAAAAATCAGGATGGAGTGGATAAAAGAATGAATGAAAAATGAGAGAAAAAAGATGACGAGTGTAAGCTGTTCTTTACAAGAGTTTGGATGAGTAAGAAAGGAGAGAGGCAATAACTAGAAGCCCTGGGCTAAGGGTAGGGACGTATTGGGAGAGATGGGAGGGTTGAGCATGTTTATCAGTTGATGGGGTGCAAACCATTAGAGGGGAAAAGAGAAGTGTTTATGGGATAACTGAAATAATGTGGCTCAAAAGCAGACAGCTGGGCATAGGATCAGGGACATAAGAGGAATCTTGGAGAGGAGGAGGTAAGAATGGGTATGCATGTTGAGAAATTTGTAGCAGGAATGGGATATTATAATTGAGGGGAATCAAACCCACTGACCTCAAGATTTCTGGATGAGGGAGAGATAATCTCTTAAGATCTCACAGTAGGAGGTGAAGGTAGAAATGTGAATTGAGTAAAGGGTCAGGAAACCGGTAAAGATTTGGAATACTGAGGGGAAAGGAAAGAGATGGTGGAAGACCATGAAAGTGTTAGTAGAGTTGAGCACTTGACTGTGGTTGGAGACCACAGCTGTGGTGATAACAGTCTGTGTTTTTGTGCACTTTTCTCCCATAGTAGTCAACTGCCTGGGTGTAGAAGTACAGAGGTGGATTGTAGTTATTTTTCTGAGGCTGACATTAGTGGTAGCCAAAGGAAGTATAGGGTACAAGTAGTTCAAATGATCAATAATGTGTGGTCCAGGTTGGATGGGGAAAGAAGGGGAAGAAGTACAGAGGTGGATTGTAGTTATTTTTCTGAGGCTGACATTAGTGGTAGCCAAAGGAAATATAGGGTACAAGTAGTTCAAATGATCAATAATGTGTGGTCCAGGTTGGATGGGGAAAGAAGGGGAGTTAGGAGGAGATGGATAGTTTAAAATGAAGGGATCACAGGAATGGAGAAGTTAGAGGTATAAAAGCAGATTGGTAGGAAAGATAATACAAGAGGTTGTGGTCAGAAAATGGGATATTGGAGTTTAAAGTATCTAATATGGAATGCTTCCAAATGTTGACAGAGATCCAGGATGGGATTAGGTGCTGAAATGGTTTAGAAGTAAAGATCACTAGAATTTAGAAATCAAGATCCATGAGGCTGGCCTGTTGAACATTCAGATTTCCCAGGATCATAGCAGGAGTTAGGTAGAGAAAAACATTGTGAGCAGGTGCCAAAGTCTTGAGTGAATGTGAGGAAATAACCAGGAAGTCAGCATGTGAAAGAAAAAAGAACAGTATGGCATCTGCCTCAGAGGACAGTGTGCTTTAGCTGAAGAGCACAGAGAGAGCCAAGATAATACTGAGCCTCTATCCATACCACCTTGCCCCACTGCTGTCTTCCTGGCCCTGTGATATAAAAGATATGAAAGAATGAGCAGCTCCTGCCAGATAGCAGACAGGTTTAGAGCAAGCATCCTAGGAAGAGCTTGAGGATGTAGGAGAGTGCTCCTAACCTCACAGAAGAAGGAGCATTACAAGTTGAAAGAG